CAAAACCTCTCATACACCTACCACCCAAGGTAAGTCCTATCTTTCTTTCACACCATCAAGTTCCGCCCAGAAATCTTCTGTCGGCCTATTGTCATTTGGACCATACATTGAGATGAGTACAAATTCCCAGTCATCCTCCAAAGAGTTGCACCAAATAGAAATTGAAAATTGTCCCACTTCTGTCCCCTTAACTTCCACTGTGTCCGTCTCCCAAATCACTACCAAACCCCCAGCAGTACCTTCAGCCAGCAATATGACCCAATTACAACTATGATCTCTCCAAATGCATCTGATAACTCAAGCTTCCACCAACTCTATTTTTGTTTCTGGCAAGCACAAATTGTCTACCCTCCAAGTCTTCACATAAAAACCTGCTACCTATCTCCTACGGCCTGAATTCAACATCCGCATATTCCACAAGACTATCTTAATGGCAGATTCCTCTGGTCAAGAAACCCCAAGGACCTCCGCCCCTACTCATGGCGAGTGTCTTCCCCTCCTTCCACCCTTACCATCCTTTGCCACTGACCCTGCATTTTCATTCAAGCCCCACGCTAGTCTGAAGAGTTCCCTCTGAGTCTTTTTCCCTTTCTCCTCCTAAGTTTTCTTCTCCACCCCATCAGAAAATTTAACATTTCCTCCATTCCTTTCAGTGATACTCCCAGGGAAGCATTGAATTTGAGGAAGTTTGATAGCACCCATGTTGAAGGATGTGTGATAGATCCCCCACCTGCGAGTGCCACTTCCAAGCTTCCATCTTGTGTCTTGTTACTAGTACAGTTCGCTGACACCTCCCCAACTGTCAACCATTCTGTAGGGATCAAAGCAAAAGGGCTTACCTCCAACACATACAAGTTGAAACCCAACTCTTCTGAGCCACCTCCTCCTACCACTCACATTTGTGGCAATTGTGATAGATCCCCCACCTGCAAGTGCCACTTCCAAGCTTCCATCTTGTGTCTTGTTACTAGTACAGTTCGCGGACACCTCCCCAACTGTCAACCATTCTGTAGGGATCAAAGCAAAAGGGCATACCTCCAACACATACAAGTTGAAACCCAACTTCCGAGCCACCTCCTCCTACCACTCACATTTGTGGCAATTGTGGTTGCCACATAAATTGGCCACCTCCAATACAAATAGAATAACATGTCATTCAAAATTAATACGTTTAAACTTAACGTTAACGTTGCATTTAAAAGGCTGGACTCCAAACAAATTTCAAAATCAATTAATTTGTTCTTGGGGACAGAGCCTAACTCAGTGTTTTAAAAGCCCAAGGCGCAAAAAAAAGGCACAAGGTCCAATTTGCACCTGAGGCGCAAGGCACATGCCTTTTTGAATCAAGGCGCAAAATTACAAAAAATGCTAAAAAATCAAAAAAAAAAGTCAGAAAATTCAAAAATGCCAAAAAAAAATAATAAATAAATAAATAAATAATTAGAAACATAATGTTAATAACAAATCTAAACTTAAATTTTAAAATAAATGTTTTAAAAAACCTATTATCTAAAGTTAAAATACAAAAACATAACATGTAAAGCGTATTCAAATGAAAATTTAAAAATAAAAGCAAACATATAAAGCATTTTCAAGCATGTAAAACCCACAATCACTTTTTTTCCTCAATTGCATTATTTCAAGTATCTAATGTGATGTAAAACATATTGCATTTTTAATTCTATGAGTCGCCTTTGTACCATGCCCCTCGATGCAAGCCCGAACAAGTCCATGTTAGGGTTTTAAATTCTTATTTCTCACATCAAAAATAAAGATTTTATAACTTTAATTCCCTTTTAAGAAGATATTTTATTGGAAATTTGGAATGAATAAATGAACAACATTAGTAAATAGGGGGTTCTCGGAACAAGTGAGACAAATTCAGATGCTTAAAATCCTCAGTAACAAACACCCAAGAGATTAGCTTGCCCACAGCTCTCTGCACTAACTCTTCTGGACTATTAGCTCTATTAGAAAAAAATTCTATTATTCCTTTCAGCCCAAATGGACCACAAAACAGCTGCAGGAATGGTCTTCCACACTAATTATCCCTTCTTGTTTAGGCCTTTAATTTTCCAACAGCACAGCAGTTCCTTGACCGACCTTGGCATAACCCAGATGATGTCCAGAGCTTTCAAGAAATGCTCCCACACTAGGGAGGAAACCGAACAGTGAATACAGAGGTGGTTTGTAGTTTCTGGGAAGGAACCGCACAGCTCACAAGAGGAGTCTGAAATTTGGATGTCACGCCTCTCTAGATTAGATCTGGAAAGACATCTGTCTAAGGCCATTGTCCACGCCTCTCATACATGAAAAGATTTCAAATGCCCCAAACATTGATTCCGGCAATTTGAAAGGTGGTGACAACAGACAGCGGTAACAACTGTTTCATCTACAACAAAAAGCTCCAACTTCCTAAAGGTAGTTGAAGAGGAACAGTTCTATCAAAGGGTGTTTGGAATTGAAGGACTTAAAAAGGAGGATGTCCTCCATATTGAATCCACATGCACAAGGGCAGCGCAAACAGAAAATACCTTTTAGAGAACTTAAAAAGAGATAACACTCAAGAGGAGTATCTTACTGCCCATCCAATGCCTTTCATGGGTGATTTTGTTCTAACAATTTCAACATCTTTTAGTTTCTAATGAAAACGGGAAAAGAGAGATAGAAAGGGGGTCAGGGGAGGGAGTGAGAGATTCTAATATAAAGGAAAAATTGTTTTGTTTACATAAGAAAGCATGGGAGATTCTAGGAGATGTTAAAGCCATCCAGCAAATGTGTTTTGGTATGTGAGATGATGTTTACGATTGTATATATTTTTTTCTTTCCTAATTTTGTAGAATGTTTTGCTCTAATATCAATGAAGATGAAATCTCTCTTAGTATTATCAGGCAAGTGAAGATCATAGTTTTCAAAGCGCCAAGGCGAAGCTAGGCGACAGGGGGGCACCTAGTCGCCTAGGCAATGGATTTTTTTTAAGTAAAAACATGTATCCTAGGGTAGTTACCTAGGTTCCATAATCATATTTCCTTAATAAATATCCATAATTTTCAAAAGAAAAGTATAAACTTCATGTTAAAGTATAGAAAATCAAAATATTCTAACATATTCATGAGAAGAATGAAAAGAAAAAGAAGAAAGAAAAGAAAATTCAAAAAATATAGGGGCTGAACCCCTATTTCTGTTATAGGAAAAGAAGAAAATAAAAGGTGGAAGAAGAAGAAGAAGAAGAAGAAATCAGTATATAAAAACACAAAATTAATAAAGAAAAAGAAGAAAACGTGTTGATTGGACAACATTTTATGTTCTTTCTTACTTATTGGTTCAGGTTTTGAAGTCATTGAGGGTTCAATACAGCACTTAGCAATGTTTGTGTTGATTAAACCCTAACAAATAAGAAAATAAGAAAAAGAAATTAGTATATAAACACACAAAATGAATATTATAATTTAAAAATGTCTTCTATGATTATAACCTCAAAAAATTAAGAATATAAAAGTTTGTTATAACACGCTATAGAAAACTGCTTGGCGATTAGGCGAAGCGAGACTCCAAGGGGGCCTTGTCGCCTAGGCGCCCACCTAGGCATCGCCTTGACAACTATGGTGAAGATGATCCCTCTCTCTCTCTCCATTCATCGCCAACAAATTGTCGAGAAATGAAGACTAAGTGAATGAAGATAGTATCTTCTCCCTCTGTCGCTGAAGATCATGTAACCCAAATAAAATTAAAATAATTTTCATTTTATCTTTAGAACCACACAGTTAAGGCCCCATACATCATTAAAATTTGATACCTGAGAAAAAGAGTGTCGTGGTCCTTTGCTATTAGAGGTGGCAGTTTATCCAACAACTACAGTTGCCTCAGATGCCAGCTCTAACCACCCTATGTTCTTCACCTTGTCTAGGGATGTTCATCAAACAGATGAAACCAACCAAACCAAACAGCCCGACCCAATCCGATCCAAGTTGGTCAATTTAGTTTTCATGCTAACCCGAGAGGTCGGGTTGGTTTCGATTTGATCATTTGTAAACCGACCAAAACCGAACTGACCCAATCATAGATATACATATTAATATTTTATATTTTAAATTTATATTTTTTAATATGGGAAAATGAGAAAATTCCCATATTTCCTATTTTAAAATATTTTATATTGTAATTTTTAATTTTAAAAAAAATTAAACCGATACAACCCAAGTTTGTTTGCTGGTTTTCATCATTGGTCAGTCAGTTTCAAGTGACTAATTCCCAACGCGACCAGGTCGATTCGGTTGACCAAATATCCTAGAACTGAACCAAACTAACATGTGAACACCCCTGGCCTTGTCCTTCCCCAAGTGGCTTCTACATTGTATTCATTGTCTCCACCTCTTGCGAGTGACAATCCAACCTCCCTTCACTGAAGGAGCTGTTACTTCTCTCTGAGTTCACTGGGGAAGAAGATTGTCACTCTACAATTTGTTGTCTTTGCAAACCACCAGCTGATCCTGCGCCTCCTTCGACTAAAAGGCTCAATAAAGGAACAAGACAAGAGTACAATACTGAGAAGTATTTTTAACACAATTTTTTTACCTTTCAAAAATAAATAAATAGCAAATTGTTTATATGTTGATAACACAAGTATTTTTAACCAAAAATATCTTATATACTGTCTATGAAATTTACCCTTTAGACATAAACTATAATAAACTGGTCTTGACCCAATTATAATTGGGACACAAAAATCAGAACCAGAACCAACATAATTGATTCAGTTCTGTCGGGTAGACCCAACCCATTGACAGCTCTAAAGGTATATTTATAAGCATCACAACAATGAAATATTGCCTGTCTACCACCATAAACAGGAATTTTTTTTATTGCCTTCTGTTGGTGAAATTCTGATAGATCTATCAAAACCACCCTCTAATGCAGTCAACTGACAAGATAAGAAAATGATATCAAAAAGAAATAAACCTGGATAAAATTCCACATAATATTATTAAAACATGATATACCTTGGAACTGGACCTTGAATAAACAGTTCTAGAATATGGGGTTCGTGGCAAATTGTGAAGCCCAATCCTGTTTCTTTGAATTTGTGGTGTTAGATAACCAAGCTGGTCTTGTACCATGGCACCAGGCCAACACATGGGTGACTTAGGTGACGGGGATGAAAATAACAGCCTTTTTGATGAAAAATCATCAATATGTACTGGATCTTTTTCATCCTTTGATATTCTGCTCTGCAAATGAAGGCCTGAGTCTGATGTTAGGGTTTCCATGTAAGCTTTTGCAATGTCTACTGGCGAAGATCCAACATCATCATGTATCTAGAAAAATTAAAAAAAAAAAAAAAGCATTGCCATTTACATATTACATCGTGTTAATGAACAGCATAACTAAATATGAAGAAAGAAGTGAAAAAAGTGTGAAGAAAAACATTTCATGATTCAAGGTACCATATTGAATATCAAATATTAACTCACAGTTGAGCGGAAAACAGAGTTTGGTGCTCCCCCTATATGCAAATTCACTGCTGCTGTTTCTCTCACTGGAGTTCTAAGATTATTCTGGACCAATATGCCCCCTGCAGCTTCTGGTCCTGAGGTTATGTCTTGGTTTTCCTTCCTCTGCCCATCAACATCAGAGATATCAACAATCCTTGAGCGTAATATCTCTGTTAAGCGGTTTAGTTCATCTCTGTACAGATATTAAAGCTTCCAGATAAGACAATTTGAACAATGTTATATGCATTAAGAAAAGGTTTTATTTAAGAGTTGGCAAGAAAGTATGATAATAATAATTACTAGCTTATAGGGAAAAAATTGAGACTACTCCAGTATAAAGGAAAAAATTTACAAATGAGAAATATGCCCCTAATACATCTCCAGAAAAACTATCGATTTGTGTACGTGTAAACATTGACCCTATTTTGCACCCAAAGTTCAAAATACTATAGCTGACTTTTGATGGGAGGAAATAACAGAAGAAAATAACTTGCCTTGAAAAAGTTTTCTCTTTCACCAGCTGCTCAATTTTAGATAGCTCAACATTAGATGAGCTTCCCATTTTGTCTCCTGCAAGTTCATCCACTTCACCACCATAGTTTGACCTACCTGCTTCTTTATTAGGACCACCTTCTTCCTTTGATCTAGATACCTGAATCTGCATTAAAATGGCTGGCAAAGATCACTAAGATGAAAGAGTGCAGCCAGAAGTTCCTCACAGCTATAAGGCTATGACAGCAATCAGCAAGATTATAAAGCTTTAGAAAGAACAGCCCTTTGTGCAGATGATAGTGATGACTGTCTTGCACATAATGCATCCTAACAAATGATTTTTCCCCTCCGAAGGTTAGCATAGCAATTCCTTGTTAGCAGTTAGTTTCAACTTTCAAGTGGTAAGGAATCTATTCCATGGAAAGTGGTTCTGTTTGTGTTTTTTATCTTTTGAGTTGGTAATTAAAAGAAGTTTCACCAATTGAAAAAATACAAATACAGCATACAGCTCCCAAAAGGAAATCAAACAAGATAAGGAAAAACTCTTGGGCTTACTCATCAGCCCCCTCATAAACCATAATACAAATTTCTGTGTTTCTTTTTCTTTCTAGTTTTCTCTTTTTTTTCTGAATCATTGACAGATCAAAAACATAGTTATCAGGCAGCAAGGTGGGACTAGGCGACAGCATACTGCCTTGTCACTTAAGCACTTAGATGGGCAAGTGGGTCCCAGTCAGTAAGGCAGTGATTTTTGACAAATAATACCTACAATTTGTTGGATATAATCCAAATTGACCTATAATTTCAATTTCATATTATTTTGCATTGAAAAAAACAGTGTTTAGAAAACCGGACCAGACCGGCCGAACTGTGACCTGGGACCTTGGCTGGTTTGGTCTTATCCCAATAACCGCTTTTGTTAAAAAAATGGTACATTTTTTTAAACGAAGCTTGTACATTTTTTTGTGAAGATTATAGAAAATTAATGGCAAAAGATGGTTGAGGCTTTTTGTGGAACCCAAGGAATTACCATAGGGTTCATGGTTTTTATTCAAAAAAAAAATACTATCACCTACCCTCACCTTGACACCTTGAAAACTATGCCTCCAAGGTCAACTACCATACTTTGAAATCAAAGAACACAAAGATAGCTTAACATGTGGGCCAATGAGTTAGCATGGTTACAACACTTTCTTTTCACCCTCCAATAAAACACAACATCCTATCAACTAAATATAAAACCAAATCACCTAGTGTGTACTTGCCTAGGTGATTTGGTTTCGAAGTATTCACATGGTCACAACACTTGTGATCGACATACATGCTATTAATCAAACGAAAAATCAAAATTTCCAATGAATGCATCCTGTTGTTGCTACCCCATATGACACATTAACAACCTGCTAACATATGAAAAAATAGGGATTGCCTCTAGGGTCTACTACCTTACTATGACAATGTAAAAATACCATTGGCAACCTAACATGATGAACAATGAATTCACACAACAACACTTTCAAGCGGCCCTCCAATGAAACATAAGCATTCTATCAATCAAAGGAAAAACCAAATCATTAAACAAGTGCATGCCTGAGTGATTTGGTTTAAACACATTCTTGCAACCCTACAATAAAACACATGCATGCTAACAATCAAATGAAAAAATCAAATCACCCAATGAGACCATGCCTTTTTCCCACCACAAAAGATACAAAAATAAACAACTAACAAATGAAAAGGTAAAGACTACCTCCAAGGTCCACTACCTTACTATGACAATAAAAAAATGCCAAGGTAGCCTAACATGTGGTGTGATGTGTTCACATGGACGCAATGCTTTCTTGTGGTCTTCCATTAAAACACCAACATTCAATCAATCAAAAGAAAACCATATCACCCAATGAGTGCATGCCTAGGTGATTTGGTTTTAATGATTTCACATGGTTACAATACAACACATTCTTGTAACCCTCCAATAAGTCACAAACATGCTAATAATCAAATTTAAAACCAAATCACCTTGTGAGTGCATGCCCAAGTGATTTGATTTTGATTAGTCCACATGGTCACAACACTTTTTGCAACCCTCCAATAAAAAATAGACATCCTATCAATCAAATGAAAGAAAAAATTTCCTAACAAGATCATGCATGTTGCTACCCCAAGTGATACATGAATTACTTGCTATCATATGATAAAATGGAGACTACCTCTAGGATCCACTACATTATAGAAATATCAGGAAATATGAAGGTGGACTAACATGTAAAGCAAGATTTCACATAATCATAACACTTTCTTGTGGCCTTTGATAAAAAAAAAAAAAAAAAAAAAAAACATAATATAAGTCAAAAGATAAACCAAATCACCTAGTGAGTGCATCTCAGGGTGATTTAGTTATGAGTTTAGTCAACAATTTCTTGCGACCATCCAATAAAACATAAGCACGCTGCTATCAATCAAACGAAAAAAATAAATAAACTAGAGAACAATTCACTATCATATAAATAAACATAAGCACGCTGCTACACCAAATGATACAAGAACAATTCACTATCATATAAAATAGAGATTACCTAAGTATGACAATCAGGTAATATCATAATAGACTACGTCTAGGATATATAACCTAACTATGACAATCAAGTAATACCAAGGCAGCTTAACATGTACAGTGATGCCTAGGTGATAAGTTGCTCATGGAGGTCTGCCAAAATCGCCAAGATATTTTTTACATTGTGCTGTTGGATACTTTTATATTCTTAATTTTTTGAGATTATAATAGTAAATCAGACATTACTAAACTAAATTATTCAGCTTGAATTAAAATACTAGTTTCTTTTTATTATTTGTTAGGGCTCAATCAAGATGTATATTGTCTTAAACCCTCGAAGACTTCAAAAACTAAAAAATAAGCATGGAAAAACTCAAAAATAGATGTCAACCCTTCTATTTTCTGGAATTTCTTTTCTTTCTTCCATTGTTTTCATGGATATGTTGATTTTCAATGTTTTAAATGAAGTTTATACATTTTTCATGGAGATGATATACACCTAATAGGTTGCTACTTGCTATAGAACTTAGGGAATTACCCCAGGATTCTTGATTTTTATTAACATAATACCATGGCCTAGGCAAAACCTAGGTGCCCGGCTGCCCGCCTAGGCAACAAGGCGCCCCCTATCACCTAGCCCCACCTCGACAGCTTGGAAACAATGCTCAGATCAGCCAATAGCATAACTGATGGATGATGCTTTGGCAAGAAAAAGGAGTGAACAGGAACCATAATTGCTTTTGGGGATAACTTTCCAAAGGAAAATTATAGTGTAACCTGAAACTTGAAATACAGATGTTGACGAGAGGGTAGCATTTGCTAGCCTATATGGGGTGCATGGCACACCTCTATGCATATTTAATGGACACCATTTTTAATTGGTATTTATTGAACATCATTAGCAAGAAAAAACTATGGGGTGTTAGTCCAAGAAACACGACTGCATTTAGCCACTAGGAATGTAGGAACATTAATAGCAAAAAGTATGGAATTAGTAGACACTATGAAGAGAAGGGTTCATATTGCATGCCTACAAGAAACTAAATGGAAGAGTAAAAAAGTTAAAGAAATTGAAGGCTACAAATTATGGTATACGGGAAAGATAAATAACAGAAATGGTGTAGCGATAATAGTAGATAAGGATTTAAAAATGAAATTGAAAATGTTAAAAGATTTGGGGATAGAAAAATTTTAATTAGACTTGTTTTAGGTGAAGAAACCATTAACATAATTAGGGTGATATTGAATTATACTGAGGGTAATAATAAAAGGAAAAAGAAAAAGAGATCAGAAGTGGAGAGACTAATTTCAAATATTGAGGGTGAAATTGAATTTAGTGGAAGAGGGGAAAGAAGAAAGATTCTGCTCTAAGGTGGAGTCTTTTGGGAAGGGTTTTTTGAAAGAAGTGTTCAATGAAAATCATCAGCTCGAAGAGAAGGGCAATTAAAGATTTACTAAGAAGAGAGAAGCCGGACATTATGTTGATACAGGAAACCAAGTTGGCAGAATTGGATAGAAGATGGGTCAGAAGTGTATGGAGATCAAGAGGAGTTTGTTGGACTTCAGCTCCTTCTTGGGGAGCCTCTAGAGGTCTAGTAACCTTATGGAGGGAGGATGCTGTAGAAAATCAGTGGGGGAGCTAATAGAGAGATTTTCTCTGTCTTTAAAGGTCAAGAATATGGGAGATAGTTTCACCTGGGTTCTAACCAATGTCTATGGGCCAAACACTTACAGAGAGAGGAATGAGATGTGGGAAGAATTGTGTGGTATACGAGGTCTATGGATGGTCCTTGGTGTCTTGGGGGGATTTCAATGTAATTATGTTTTGTAATGAATCTAACAACCCCCAAAGAACAGTTACAACCAGCATGAGAAAGTTCAATGAATTCATTAATACTTGTAGTCTAAAGGATTTACCCCTCTTACAAGCTAATTTTACATGGTCTAATTTCCAAGAAAACCCCCTTTGTTCGAAATTAGATAGGTTCCTCTTTAATGAAGAGTGGGAGAACCATTGGAAGAATCTGATGGCTAGAGCTTTACCCAGAGTTACTTCTGACTTCTGATCACTGCCCTATCTAGTTAAGTCCTGAAACACTAGCCTCTAGTCCACGACCTTTTAGATTTGAGAATATGTGGTTAACTCACCCGGATTTTGTGCACTTGAGTGGGGAATGATGGAGAAAAGATTTAAGAGAGGTGAAGTGGAAGGGAATGAGATTCCACAGAAAGCTTAAAAGATTGAGATCCAAAATCAAGGAGTGGAATAGGGAGCACTTTGGAAGGATAGAGGAGCAAAAAATTAACTTGGTGTCTAGGATTGAGGAACTAGATTCCAAAGAAGCCCAAAGGATTATAAGTGAGCAAGAAAGGGTTTTGAGAAGAAACCTAAAGAAGGATTTGGAAGAGGTTCTTCTAAAAGAGGAAATTTCTTGGAGGCAAAAGTCAAGATACAAATGGATTAAGGAAGGGGATGGACATACAAAATTTTTCCATGCATTGGCTAATGGGAGGAGAAGAAAAAATTTCGTGGCTAAGTTAGAGGTGAACAAGGAGGAAGTCACAAATCAAGATGAGATAGACAGATTGTTTGTGGATCACTCCAAATCAAT